ATGGGGAAGGGGCGTGGGGGAGGGAGAGACTGAGGTTGGGCTGGGATAAACTGCCTAGCCGGGGTGGGGGGCACAGGATGCGGGCACAGCAGCACTGGGAGCGGGGGCTCTGCCCTTCTGCCACTTGCCCAGCGGGGGCATGGGGGGGAGGTGGGACACAGATGTGGCTCACTCTGGGTATAAGGGGCCAGCAGCAGCAAAGCGGGATGCAGGCGCGGCACCGCTGGCTATGCCCTACTGCTGCTTGCACCCTTCTGCCTGGAGTGAGCCACACCTGCATTGCACACTGCCCAGGGATTGGAGCTGGGCAGCTTGTCCCAGCCCTAGGCCCAGCCCCAATGCCTCCCTCCCACATGCCTTTTCCCTCCCCCCTGCCCCAACCCCAACAGACTTAACAGCTGGAGGCAGCTGTGTTAGCTGGCTGTTTAGTCTATGGCCAGATCTCTGAAGCAGACCCAAATCTTTTGGATCTGATTCAGCTGAATCAAACTGGAACAGTGATTCTAATCTCCAAATTGAATCACTATCCTTCAAATGGGCTGAATCCAAATTGAATACTTGCTGCTTTGCACAGGCCTACAGGCTAGCACTAGAGATAGCTGACTAACTGAACTGTGACACAATGGGCATGTCTACACAAGACATGGACCATGCAGTAGCCTAATAACAGTTGCCAGTAGTGTGCCAGGCAAAGACTATGCTAATATGCTACTGCACAGTAGTATTAGGCTACTGTGCAGGAAGCATCATTAAAAAGCCATGTGCCAGCACTACTGCACAGTAGTGCAAGTTACTAGGGCTGTGCAAAGCTTTGGGTGCTGATTCAATTCAAGGGAGATTTGGCCCAATTTGGTGGCCAAATCCAAATCAAATTGGAAGACCAATAAAAGGTCTGAATTGATTCAAAGCTCTCCAAATCGATTCAGAAAAAATTTGGAGAGCTTCAGAGAGATTTGGAAACTCGGGCAGTCCCTGATCACCACTGCAGGGAGCTGGACCCAGAGTCTGTGCTGATAAGTAGCAGGGAGGGGGCGAAGTGGACCATGGTGGGACCTCCACCAGGCCCCATCCCCTGCCTGCTCCCCCACCCCTTCTGAGCACCCCCCGACACTTGCCCAATCTCCTACACCCATCAATGGCTGCCCAGCCCCAGCATCCCAGCTCTTTAAACAAACAAACAAAAAGGCTTCTGGGGTGTCATGCCAGAGCTCCCCATGGAGTATGGGGGAGTGGGGATCGCCCTCCCCCCCAACCTGGCAGAAGCCATTAAGTGCAGGGCTTTTTTTTTTCTTTTCGAAGAGCTGGGACACTGGGGTGGGGCAGGGCAGCCATTGACAGGGCTCAGAGAGTGGGCAGGGGATGGGGCCTGTTTGATTCAGAGATTCAGCAGTAACTACAGTGCATTAATGAAAATATAGACACACCCAATGTATGGAACTGGAGATTATTTAAAAAGGGCCCAATCCCTAGTTTCTTGCAGGGACATCAGTAGAAGTATCGCCTGAATAAATCTATCAAGATTGGTTTTAAGTATGACATGAGGAGGAGGAAAATGAGGAATAACCAATGGAGCAGACAGCCTAGCTTCTTGCACACTGGGAGACATGGATCCAAATCCTCTCAGGGTGAAGAGAAGCTAAAACCTAGGTCAACCACCTTCTCTACAAGTGTTGTATTCAATAGGCTTTGGGCAAAAAAGTGGGCACAGACCCTATTTGGAGCTAAATTCTAGTCTGTCATTGTAGCATATATGTTTTCAAACTCTGCTTACCAGCGGTGGCCTCTCTAAAGTCTTATGTGAAAGCTAAGTAAATCCCAGCAACAAGCCGAGTCACAACAGAGTCCAGTTGGTAGTCAGGTGCTATCTTATGCCCAGATGTATTGCCTTGAATCCATTCTGACCATGTTCACAATGCCTAGTATAGTGGCCAAAGGAACTTTACAGTCCAAAATCAATGGGCCTAATGAATTTGGATGCCTAAGAATTTTATGGAAACTGGCACAAACCCAATTTGAATCACTCCTTGGGCATTTTTACATATGTATGCACTGCAGCGCCAGGCACTTTTCAAAGTAGCTGGTGCTGCGGTGCATGCAGTTATATAAGAGGCAAAATGTGTGTCAGCATGCAGAAAATGGTGGCGGTCTGCTTTTGAACTAAAACACCTCAAAGGTGTTTTAGCTTGGAAGTACACTACTGCCATTTTCTGTACACTGATATGCATTTCACCACTTACACAACTACACACACCGCAGTACAATGTGCATCAGCTCACGTGCGGAGCTCTGGCAGATCCAAAAAGAAAATGTATGTGTATAAATGGCTGACTAAATTCTGCCTAAGTCCCATTTAGATGCCTGAAGAACCAAACTAAATCCATCCCTGCCTGCCCTCATTTTTGCAAATATGACTTAGGCGCCTAAGTTACTGAAACAATTTGGAAAATGTTACCCATTTAGCCTGCAGATATGCTCTTTAGTGATACTCTTCTATGGGAAATAATCCTATTAGAACTTTCCTGCATACTCTCTATTAGCAATATATACAACATTTTAATGAGGGATGAGACAACTTTACCAATTTCTGTCAGCCATTTGGCAACAGCTCCGTAAATCTCATCAAGTATAAGGATCACAACCAGGTTAATGATGACAGCAGTTGCAGTCACAGTCACTCGAACGTTTGACCTGGTTTTCTCATTTGTGCTGAATGACAAAGCTGCTGCAGTGGTAATTCGGTACACAATTACACCAAAGACTATTGAAAACGTCAGTGCAATCTGCAAAGAAATGCACGGAGGTTAGCATAAATATTTTATTCCACACAACATTGCCATTTAAATGCTCATAGCTCAGATTTGTTCTTCAAATTGCTGTTGAGGGAGCAGAAATTAAAGTAACGCAAAATCAGGGAAACGTACAGTAAAATTAAAAGATGGGAAATTCATGTCAGAAAAGGAAACACTTTTTTGTGCAGTGTATGAGGAAGTTATAGTGGCCAACAATTTAACAAATTATACCAGAGATTCAATATTGAAGTAGATATAAAAAAATATATACAGGGTTACCATAACAGTGACAAGAGAAAATTTGGAAAGGATATTAAACTTTGCCTTAGTCCATTTCTGACTAGATAGCAGAATGAGACCTATAGTGCAAAACTGTTGTATATCCACCTAGCATGCAGTTCTTATAACTTGCTCTGAAACATGTGGTGCTGGTCATGATTAGAGACAGGATGATGAATGGAGTGGACACTGGCTCTGACCCACCATGATCCTATAACTGCCCCACCCTTTTGTGATTAAACCTCAACCTATCCTATTTGAAATTCTGCTCATTTAGGACTCATACATGGAAATAAAATGAGGGCTCCCATCCTACCGCGCGTTGTACAACTGTATTGCTGTGCCTGCCAGTAAGGGCACTAAACATGGCTCTGCAAGGTGTAATCATCCAACCTTCCACTACACACAGTAGAATTGCGACTGAGGCATTTTCAGTTTTTGGTGTTCTTCCAAGTTTTGCCACAGACAAAAAGGAAATGTTTTCCTCCATTATCTTAATATACTGGATTCTCTGGAGACTATGGAAGGATTGCTTTGAGTTCATGTTACCTTGTTTTTCCATAAAAATCATAGTATTTTGTTGACCTCAGTACTTGAAATGAAAAAAGTCAGACAATACCAGGAAATCAAGTTCTCACAAGATGAATTTGTATTTCATAGAGCTGTGTAATTCCAGCTTCAAAAAGCACAAATGAAACAATAAGTAATTTTAAAACATATATTTCATTTTTATACAGAAGCACTAGTTTGGCTAGAGGAGGAGCCATATGTAGGAAGTGGAGAGAGGGTTCATGTTTCTGTTTTGTTTTTGCCTTTAGCAAGAATTCCAATGTATGTTCATTATAGTTGGTAAAGCATTTTGAGATTCCTGGATGAAAGAGGCTATATCAATGCAAAAGATTAGATTGTTATAATTATTTGGCTAGCCGTGGGGCGCAGGCACACATCACAGGCCAACCTAAGTTTAGCACTTCAGCCTGTGGACTATTTTTAGTCTAATCTCTTCATAATTAATATAGGCCAGACAAAATCTACAAGAGAGAGGTTCAGAGACAATAGAGAGTCTCCCCTACCCTAAACCCAATGCTACTCTCAAGAAAAAGGCACTGTTTTCAAGAAGCAGGAGCTAAACACATAAGTTGACATTAAAACTTAATGGGTTTTTTTCAGTTCACAGTAGGGCTGTGCGAAATTTCGCCGGCTGTTTCATTTAGATGCTGTTTTGACTCATTTCAAGCTTGAAATAGTGAAATCAAAATGAAATGAAGGGCTTCAAAAAGTCTCAAAACAAAATGAGAGCAGTCAAAATGTTTCAAAAGTTTCAAAACTTTTTGAGTTTCGAAGCTGAAGCTGAAGCTGAGCTTGCCTACAGGGAAACAGGAAGTAAGGAGAGGGAGTGGGAAGAACTGCTCTGACACTGACTGTGTAGATGGCCAGTGACTGTGTTGTGTAGAGGCCCCCGCTCCAATGAGGGCACACCTTAACAAACACATAGTCACACGTGTCACGAGTTTTGCTTGTCAGCAGCCTGAGGTACAGTTTCCCAGAAACCCCTGCACCTATCTCCTTGAAAGCTGGCATGCTTTGTGGCCTCAGCAGGGGCTAGCATGCCTGCAGTTTTCACCCCACTGTGGCTTAACACATACGAGTTTTGCTTTCAAGACTTTGAGGTGCAGTTTCCCAGAAACCCCTTCACCTATCTCCTTGAAACTTGGCAAACTTTGTGGCCTCAGAAAGGGCTAACACTTCTGTAAGTTTCATCTGAATCAGGCAAAAGATGACAAAGTTATAGGCAGTTTTATGTGTCCCCATTAGAGCCTATGGGCAAAGCGTCAAAACAGGGAAACAGTTTTGATGAAACAAAATGGAACGGTGCTTTCGAAATGAAACAAAACTCAAAATGAAACACTTCACTGTTGAAATAGAAGTCGAAATGAAACGATGATGCTTCATACGGCCCTAGTTCACAGTAAATTTGCTGAAAAATAGAGATCTGGAGGGACTGAAAACATTTATGAAACTGGATCACATTCATAATAGAGTTTAAGCCAAAAAATAAATAAAGCAGGGTAAACTATTTTATTCTGACATTGTAATGCAATCTTTCATTTTCACAATCTCAGAACATTTCATTTTGGCATTTCCAAAAGAGAACACTTGACTTGTCAAGTCAACATTTTTTTTGTTTTGTTTCATTTTTTGTTTTGTTCTGTTGGGTGTTTTGGGATGGGAGGTTGGGAGAGGGTGGGTTGTTTTTTTGGGGGGGAGGAGGGTTGGTCATATGCTGACCAATATATAAAACAAAAGAAGAGAAAAGCATATATATAGAAAATACTGACTGAGGCCATGACAAACCATTTCATCTTGAGCTAAACAAACATCTTGGGTTATATATATAATTCTACTGAAAATATCACCCAGCCACTACTTCCATGCAACACATGCCGGCTGATTTTTTTTTTCTTGTTTATTTTCATCATCAGTGCAATACAAGTAAGGGTGTGATAACTCGGCCTTAATGGAGATGCAGGCTGAGAGCCTATACTGTGAACCTAGTTGATTTTCTTCTGCACCACTCTATTTGTCTGTATCCAATATACCGTGGGAAAGCAGGAAGCGTTACTAATCATGAAAATAGAAGTGATGGATCTGGATGCATGACACAATAATTTATGACCAATTTTACTCCATAGTGGATTTATTTCATGATAAGCAGTGCTGATTTTCCCAAGCTAGCCACCTGTAATGGGCACATCATTGCAGGTGGATGTCAAGGGAAACTATTTGCATGGAGTATAAGTCACTTTGAAGTGAAACTAAAGCAGTGGGCTACAACTGACCTGTGAAGCTACTGGCTCTGTCTTGTGGAGTGAGGACTTTGGCAGCATTTGATAGCAAGCAGCTTTGCTTATGCTGTGCTGCACTGCATCGTACCATGGCATGACTGGGAGCCTGGGCAGCAGGGAGCTTTATCATGCTGTATCACACCTGGGTGACATGGAAAAAGTAGAGAGAAGCAGCAGCAGGAGCTGGGTCCTAGCACTTGCCCACCTTGGATCCAAGTCAGACTCTTCTGACCTGTCATCAGCAAACATTGCCAACCGCTGCACTAAGGGATCAGAACATCATTGGTACACTGGTGTAACTTGCACTGGCTTATGGTTATTTTTTATTCACAGAGGGGCAACATAACCCAGAATACAGTGACTTACACTAATGTAATGCTGCATGAAATGTGCCTGCTGAACTTTTACCTGCAGTACAGTTGGGGAAAGTCTGAAGTAAATATTGCCATGGATCTGTGCCCAGAGATAAATCTAAAGAGTACAGAAGAGGGCTGTGATTGATGCCAATGCCTGGAACTATCTTCCTTGAGGCAACTGTTAAGATTTTCAACTTTCAGAAAACTTTGCTATGACATCTACTTTCTAGAACAGCGCTTCCGAGGAAGTTTTTAATAGCCAAAGGTTGCATCTCATCTGGATACAAAACCTCATTGGATTGCAGCCAAAAAGCTGAATGCAGAACAGTGAGACTGGTATGTAGCTCAAATTGGCAAGAAGATATTCTTTTTAAAAATTTATATTTAAACAAACAATATACTTGACTACGTAAAGTGAGAGAAAGATCAAGGGCTTAAAAATTGTGAGATCAAGGGCTTAAAAATTTCTGCTGGAAAGGGGTTCATACAACATACAAATTATGCTTTAAGCAATACTGAAAATAAAATAAATAAAGAGCAAGTTCCTACCAAGAGAAAATTCTCAGCAGCTTTTAGAAATATCAGGGAAAAGCATGCCATGTAAGAGTAGGGAAGTGGGGAAAGTGCATGATACCATCATTCTATAAAGTGTAGACATTTTTAAGGAACATTCCTGTGGGTTTGAGCCTGCCAGACTGTGTGGGCCTGGAAAAGGTGGTGTAAGCAATTCAACAACCACTTCTGTAGCAACAAGAGAGTGCAGGGTGTGTGTGTACCTAATTTTTGCCTACTGTACCTTAATAGTGATCATACTTTTAAAAAAAGTTTGCCTATCTTGATACAGACAAGGAAATTGACCAGGCAAAATCAGCTGCACTGGTGCAACCCACTCCAGAAACTGACAGCAGAATTTACCCTTTGGTTTCCATTGTTTTTAATCACTTCAATAGAAAAATGACTGCATTCAGTAAAGAAAAGATTGTCATTTGCACGCAGGAGATGGGATCTGGCTCTTACTGCAGAAATAGGCTTGAATTTCATGCAAGGTTTGCAACTTTATCTCCTGTAACTATTAATTGCTTAAAAGTAATAATTACAATATTATAGAATGACTCTGGGGGCCTTATTACACATTAATTTTAAGCAGCTCCTGGAGCTCTTAACCTCTGGATTGCCCACACATTAACATCTGAAACTAGTTTTAAGCACTTTAGGTTGGCTTAGTTATGCCACTCCAGGGTAGGGTTACTATATATCCAGGTTTTCCAAGACATGTCCTCTTTTTTGGACCCCTGTGCTGCACCCAGGCCAGTTTTTAAACTAAGAGCAAATGTCTAGGTTTTCTGCTTTCCCGGGCTGGCGACTTGAGGATGGGAGCAGCGGGCAAGGTGATTTGTTGTCGGGGCTCATGTGCTCCCCATGTGGGCTTTGGCAAGCCAGGTAGAAAGAGAGAGAGAGTATGTGTATATTTAAGAGAGTTGGAACATGCACAGTGAGGAAGCTGCTTGGGCTGCAGGGCTGGGGAGGGGAGGGATGTGCAGATTGGAAGTGAGGGGCACCAGCAGGGTTGGGGGACAGAGGCTGCAGGTCCAGAGTGCAGGGCATTGGCAGCACTGTGGGGCAGAGGCTGTGGGTCAGGAATGAGGGGCACTGGCAGGGGCCTGCAGGTCAGGAGTGAGGGGCACCAGCAGGCCTGGAGGGCAGGAGCTGTGGGTCGGGAGTGAGGGGCACTGGCAGGGTAGGGGGGGCCACGGGCCGCGGGTTGGGAGTAAGGGGCACTGGCAAGGCTGGGGGACAGGAGGCTGTGGGTCTGAAGTGAGGGGCACCAGCAAGGCTGGGCACAAAGGGCTGCAGATCTGGAGTGAGGGGTACCAACAGGGCTGTCAGGGGGGCAGGGGCTGCAGGTAGGGAAGGAGGGGCATGGGCAGGGGGCTCCACGTCAGGAATGAGGGGCATTGGCAAGGCTGGGATGCAGGGGCTGTGGGTCAGGAGTGAGGGGCACTGGCAAGGTTGAGGAACAGGGATCTGGAGTGAGGGGCACTGGCAGAGCTGGCAGGGGCCTGCAGATCTGGAGTAAGGCACTGGCAGGCCCAGGGGAATGCCGGGTACTGCTGTTTGGGAGTGAGGGGCACTGGTAAACTGGTAGGGCTGGGGACAGTGGATCCAGAGTGAAGGGCAGCAGCAGGGCGGGCAGGGGTCTGTGGCTTGTCAGTGAGGAACAACAGAATAGGCAGGGTCAGGGCGCTGGCCTGTCACTGCCCCCTCCCCCCCTCATCATATTCCCTCTACCCCCATCCTCTGCCTCCAGTGACAGGTGTCCTCTTTTTTGGACCTGGAAATACGATAACCCTACAGTCCAGGGTAAGTTTGCCTCTGATCCATGTTACCCAGCTTGCGTTCCATTGATGTGTGGTCACTCCCCATAGATGAGCCATCCCAGTTGCAGTCCTCCAGCATGCCAGGATTCAGTGTCCCTTCTCCCACCCTCCTGTTCTATGTGAACAAACTTTCCATCTCCTGAGCTCTACTGCCCAGGGGGTGGTTCTGGCACCAAGCCAATTCCTCTTCCCACCTCCTGGGGTGTGATTTTTCCATACCTAGGAATGCAACCCCATGCAAACAGCCTGCAAAGCACATGCCAGCTACCCAGGTCACAGGGTATGGACAGGTCCAGGAGTAGGATCTAAGGAAGTACAGGAGGGAGCAAGGAAGGGGGCCAGATCAGGTCCCATAAGCTGGTGCTTTCTTCCCAGGGTAGGGGCAGTAGCTCCCCCAAAAGCACCATCTTGCACTGCTCCCACCCCCCAGCCACCCCAGGAAACATGACCAGAACCCACACCCCAATCCCAAATTCCAATTTATTAAAACATAAGAACTTCTTTAATTTACTTCTGCTTTTTTTTTTACTTCTTATTTTATCCTTCAGTGACTGACTTACTTCATTTCCTACCCTTCCCACACCCTCATTTCCTTTCCACTTCCCATTTCATTACATACCCCCATCCCATTAACTCTCTCCCTCTGAGCTTCATGTACCTGCCTCCCCCCTCCCCAACCTATCTCTCACACACCCCAACCTAGAGCAGGGATAGAGGGCTGTCATGGCAACTCAGAGCTGTAGCTCCAAGTCAGGCCCCTTCTCACTAGCTTTCTAGGGGCAAGTCACAGCTGTGCACATGGGGGATGGTGAGAGAAGGATTTTAGTCTTAAGACGCAACTGCTCTAAACTCAAGCTAGCACTAACACTGATCAATATTTGAGCAGTTCAAAATGCAACATGTAACAAGGCCCTGAGTCACATTCCCAGAGGATGAAAACCAACTTCATGGGTCACATGGGTTTGCAATAAAACTGAATGTCTAGAGTGCTGTATTTCAGCTTCAAATCAATTTTAGGATGTCACTTGTGAGACACAATATTGAGGCCTTGATTTAGGAAAGCATGTAAACACATGCTTAAGCATGGGATTTGAACATACAGTTAAAGTTAGATGCATCTTAAGCACTGTACCTAAGAACAGAGATTCTCTGCTATATTGAGGCTCTATAATTGGACACGCTTTGGGCTCTGCCACACATTCAGCTTAAAGCTGGATAGAAATCAGCTACCAAGTTTTACACATTTTCAAGCACTAACTTTGTAGCTGGTTGGCTTTTTTATAGCAGGATAGTCCTTATTATGATGTGATAATTACTTTGCACATGTTACTTGTCTTGTGTGATTAACCAGTTAATTGCAAAATATATGTAACATGCATCAGGAGCCTTGGAAATATTATAACATCAGTCATAGTAATGTTTGTTAGGATTGAGAATAATTTTATTTTTTTCTGGGAGTTTTCACTCAGTTTTGTCATCTTTTAGCTGACATTTCTCTTAGTGGCTTGATAAAGCCCAAATTTTAAGAAGCATCAACATTCAACTTTTGCTAATATGCACATATAGAAAGCCTGATACACACTCACAAATCAAGGGTTTAGCATATTAAAACACAAGAGACTATACTGCTTTGTGCAGAACCAGACATACTGTAGTATTGGTTTTTAAGCAGAAGGCCCCACTGAAATCAGTCAGGAATTCTTTATGAAATTCAAATGTTTGCTGATGCTCAGTAGAAAGTGAGACTTATTTAAAATTTAACATATAAAATATAAACACAAATGAGACAAGTGACCATAAAATTGGCATGAATGTTGCAAAAGCAAATTCAATTTTGAGTGAATACTTGTAGGATTTGTACATTCCTAGTAAATAAGAAATACAGTCTCATTCATATTCTAAAACAGTAAAATTCCTTGAGTAAAGGAACTGGGGACAGTTAGGTGGTATAAGCCTAGCATAGTTCTATTACTGACTAATGTCAGCTATGGATCTGACAGAGTCTTTTTATTATTCAGTGGTTTAAGTTGGTAGTGGAATTGTGCTGTCATTGACAAAGTATTGGCAGGATTATTGCCAAAGCTTTCCTAGTACTTTTTACCATGCCTTAGTTTAACAGGGATATATTTTGTTGTGCAGAGGCATGTTCCCTAGGACAAAACAGAAGATGTCATTTGCACCTTTGAGACTATTAATACAGCTTTAAGGAGGATGCTGTTACAGACCATTACAGCAAAGTATCTGAAGAAGTAGACTATTGGCTAGAAAAGCTCGTGCCTTTCTGAACCAGCTAGTCTTTCAGGTGCCACCCTGCCCTATCTTTTGCTTGAATGAAGCCTAACAGAGCTAATCACCTCTCTCCAGGACAGATAAATGTAAAAGAAAATACAAATAAATTACCATAAATAAAATGGATGCAAAGTTCATTAAGTAGCCAGACACGCGGTCCCTCCATGTTAACTTCTCCTTGTCTTCCTGTTGCAAAACACAAACAGAAATACGTATTACAAAACTGACCATACTGTATATTATAAGAGACAAGAAAAAAATGTAATACAATTCTTATCCAATCTGCCTTTCCCCTGCCTCTCTGAGGTTGCAAATTTTGACATACCATTTTTTTTCAGTCAGCGCAGGAAAAATGGGAGACAGATAGGAAAATTGCATTAGAGTCTTAAAGTCATACAGAAGTACAGCTGCAATATACACTCAAGAGGTCTTGGGTAGAAGGCCACATCCTTTACTACACAGAAAGGCAAAACCCCCCACAGTCCATACCAATCTGATCATGGAGTAAAATTCCTTCCTCTTCCTGACCCCAAATACGGTGATTGACTGCCCCTGGGTGTAGGGGCAAGCTAGGAACCACTAGCTTTGTTCCTAGAAAGAGAGTTACACACCCCAGTTGAAACTAAAATTTTAACAAAATTAAAATTTTTATTATAAAACCCTCCCCAATTTGAAAATTAACTGCAATTCTGGGATTTGAAAGTTTTCAGCCAGCTCTTAATGAATTTCAAAATATCAATAGAAAATGTTAAAGTTAACCCTTATCCATTTTGGAACCTGGATAAGCTATACTATTTTCTTGGACCCTGTTTCTTGCAAGACCTCAGAAGAACTATATTTTGAGAATGATTATTTTATTTATTTGCTGTCTTTTCCAACAAAGGTCTGAAGTAATTTACTTTTATTACCAGGAGCTCCAGATGCCTTATCTAAGGATTCCTTCATCCAATGCCAAAGTTAACGTACAACTGAGCCTCTTTGTTGTTACAATAACCACCTAATCTGTCACTTTTCATAATTATTGACTATTAGAATCTTGGGCATTTTATATTCTTATACTTTCTTCAATTTAATTCCCTGATTCTAAAAAGGTTGAAAACCACTAGTCTAACCTCCTCTTAAAAACTTTTGTGACCAACACTCTTGCATATTACCAAGCACAATGCCTGAAACATCAAAAATACCCTAACTTGCTACTGGTAAAGCAGGGAGACAAAGACAATTGCAATGTCTTGCAACTAAGAAGGAAAAGAAGTAGTTTATTAAAATAAGCTCAAAAGATCTAATAGGACCATGCATCCTGCTAGAAAGGAAGGCAAAACCATCCACAAGTGTACCCACAAGTGTACCCACAAGAGTTCACGTGCGATTTGTGGTGCCTCAAACTGGTTTGAGGCACCACAAACCTCATGCAGTGCATGTGCATCTGTTCACTAATTTGCAGCATGGCAGGGTTTTTTTGACACTGGGAGATCTATTTCACTGTGTCAATCTATTTCGCTAATGGAAAAAACACTAAAGTAGTAAAACAGCAGCCCTTTCATGGTCAGGGATAGGGGTAGAAAAAGGACAGCCCGGAGGCTTAGACAAGTAGCTGGGCTTTCCCATTCTGGGGCTGTGCTGCAAACACACACACACACACACACACACGGCTCACTTTAAGCTGTGTAATTGTAGATTGGGTCCCCCATGTGTACATGTTTGCAATGCCGGGAGCCACCCCAGAAATGCGATCTAAGTAAGTCAGAGTGGTGGAGGGGGAGGTGCTAACAGATCTACAATAGAAATTAGTGTGTTCGGTGTAGCTGGCAAATCCACAGGGGTGGAGGCCTGGTGGGTCCAGCACTGCACTGTTACACATAGTAGGTTTAGATTGGGCCCAGGTTAATATGATCTCCTCCTAGAGGAACTAAAGGTAGATCAGGCTGGCCATTTTTGCCTAATCTAATTTTCCTGTACATATGTACAGATCAGCACTTAGATCTACCTAACTGTACTTAGGTTGATCTAAGTGTAAGGTCTGCATGTGGGTGAACTAAGTTACATCAGGTGACGTGTGTGTGTGTGTGTGTGTGTGTGTGTGTGTGTGTGTGTGTGTGTGGGTGTGGGTGTGGGTGTTGGTG